TTCTTGCAATCTTGTTTTTAATTGTTTCTTTGTTTGGCCTACGTAACTAACATCACAATTCTCACAAGAAATTTTGTAAACCACATTTTGATTATTTAGGATCCGCTTCTCTTTTTATTAAGTTTTTTAATGTATTTGGAATAGTAAAGGCCAATCTACAGTTAAACATGTTGACTATTGGTGTAAATTTTTCAGATATTGAATTAACATATAGAATTATAAAAAATTTATTATCTTTAACATTTATATTATTAGAACTTTTACTATTGTTAATATGAAATTTAATTCTACTTGGAATAGTCGAAAATAAAAGATAGTGGATATCCATTATTTAGAAAGATATTAATAGCATCAATCAAATTATTTTACTGACACTAAGAATGACATAGACGAATTATTTTGTCTATGATTCTATAAATAACATCTCTTTTGGTAAAGCAGATGGTATGAATAAAAATTAAAGTATCTGTCGGAAAAGGTTGCTTTACGATATCCGTCGAAAATAAATTTCCGTTCCTTTACAATTAACATAGTGTCTACAAAACTTAACTTTCCATCTGTCCTACTTCTACAGTAAACTGCAGTCTAACATGTGAAGAATTAAAAATACCCAGGATATCATTGATACTTTCAGACGGAACAGCAAAAATAATATTATCAATATATCGAAAAATAACAATCGAACCGGCAATCACAATTTTCTTCAAGTCTTGCATTATCATATTTTTGCAACAATTGGTAACAAAGGTAACCCCATCAGAGTCCTATATATTTGTTTGTAAATTTTATTATTATTAAACATAAAAAACGTAGAATTTGAGATTAATCGAAAGGCAATCATAAACTCATCTAACGGAATTTTTGTTCTCTTAGATATAAAATCCCATATCTTAACCACACAATCAGATGCCAAATTTACAGGTATGTTAGTAAATAAGGATACTACATCAAAAGAAACCAACAAAGAATCTGAACTAAAGTTGATATCTTTTAATTTTTCGACAATATCAAAACTATTTTTTATAATATATTATTAGGAGCTTTTGGTGTGGTATCATTAATAATATTGTGCAAAAATAGTGGTAACTTATATAGGACTATTCACAGAAGACACAATAATTCTAAGAGAGTAATCCTGTTTATGGATTTTTGTTAATCCATATGCTCTAGGAATATTGCCGTTAGTCCCAAGTAATCTCCGATATGCAAATTCATCAATAAAATTCCTCTCTTTCCAACTGCTAAGTAAGCTGCGTAAGTCACAAGTATGTTTTTTAGTTGGATCTTTTGCTAATATTTCATATGTGTTAGTGTCTGAAAGCTTCATCTTAGATATGTAATCGACCTTATTTAAAGCAACTGTGACATTCCTCTTATCTGCCTTAGTAATTAGAATTTTAAGATGATCTTTTATACATTTTTTAGATGACCGAACAATAATTTACCATTCGAATCAGTTATGGGAAACTCCTTATGAAAATTCTCAAAAATCGAAATTGCATTTTTTCTGACAAAGTTAGTTATATTGTTCGGACGACCATGTATTGTTTTCAATATTTTTAATAAACTCAATCAACGTTCCATCAATATTGTGTTTGTTCATAGGAAGACCAAAACCCTCATCTAACTGTAACAAATATTAGACCTTCAAAGGAGTGTCGTCAACATTGCTCAAATTAATAAGCCACTTTTTATTTAATGAATCTAAGGGAGTCGCTTCTTCAAATTCTTTAGCCGAAATATGTATTCTTTCCTTCGAAAGTGATGAATCTTTATTAGGAACATTAATAGACTCAATATTGTTTTGTAATTCGTTATTCAAATTACAAACGTAAGAAATTGGATTGATTTTAGATCTTTTTATTCTTAAATTTTTTTTCTCAACCAGCCAATCTTCTTATCAATTCTACTTGTATGTTGAAAAAAATAAAAACTATTCATTTTGTCTAAATATTTAAAATTCGCAAACTATGGAAACTAGCAAGACACTATGAATCTTCGAAGAGAAATAAAAAATGTTCACAAAATAAAAAATTACTCATAAAAATAAAAAAATTTCTTATTCTCTGTTCTCTGTTCTCTGTTCCTTTTATTGTGTGGAGCCCCATACCGATTGCACCTTCGCGCACTTTTCGCACCATGGTTAAACAGCTCATGAAAGGAACTCAGAGCTATCATGGAACAAGATTGGAATGGATTCCGATCGGAATTATTCAATTATTCCTTAGATTTCTATTGTGTTTTCTAGGGAAAATAGAATAATTCCGATCGGAATTCATTCCGGCGTGTTCTCTGGTGTGCTCTTGTGCATACATTTCTAATAGCCAATGAAAATATGACGTGATTTTTTATTAAAATATTCCTTATGTATAATTATATACAAAATTATGCATAATTGTGTATGAGAAATTTATTATTTTTTATGTTTTTACATTACTATTATTATTTCTATTACACTAAAAAATAATTTTACAAAAGAAAGAGAGAGGGAAGTATGAACATATATGAACATATTTTATATATGATTGTACATATATGTTTATGAATATTTATACATATTTATACATATTTATGTATGAAAAATTTTTTACTGGATATATGTAATTGTTCAAATATGTAATAATATGAATGAATAGAATAATTACACTGTAAAAAGTAATGTATTTTATTCTTGTCTTCATGTTTTAAATACTTAAAGATGTTTTAGTTTTAAACTTTTTCAATAGACAAAACATCTTTAAGTGTTTAAAAAATGGATACAAGAATAAAACATTTTAATATCTTAAAATTAAACACTTCTTTTTTTAGTATAATGATTATTTAAATATTACTTTTACGTTCTGTAAATATTTCTGGAATATCCTTGAAATGTTATTTTGGAGTTTAGGATCATTTTATAAATATTTCAGGAATATTAAGTTAACTTGGTTCGCTCCTACTACCTCACCTCAGAAAATAGAAGCACGTTCTTTTTAGCTACTTCTTGCACGATTCATTTTTTCTTTTTTTCTCTCCAACGTGGAGAGAAAAGGAAGAAAAATGAATTATGTAAAAACTTTAACCAAAAAGAACAGACCTTAGGTTAACTACTGGAGCGATATATATATTTGGTGGAAAATTATATAGTGATTATAACATTTGGAACAGTATTGGACTAATCCAGCGTTTGGAGTGTATAGTATTGGAGCAGCGTTCAGAGTATTGGAAGAAGCAAGTCAGGACTAATAATGTGATTCGATGACCATCTTTGTGCTTAGGTCCTTAGAGCTAATACGAAAGCGATCTGGTAAAGTGCAGAATGGGGTGACTTATAATGTTTTCTCTTGGTGCATTATCACTCATTTAGAACCGGTTCCACCTTTTGGTAAATCTTATCTGTGAGGTAAATTTGATAATCCACGCATGTGATTGGGTAATCTTACTACTTATCCAATAAGTAAAATTTATCAAAAGATAGAACAACCATCCCTCAGACAGTGTATGTATGTACCATGTTTCCATGGCTGATGGTAAGCGAACTCATTCGGTGTACCGTGTTTCCATGACTACGTGTGCAAATTTTATGCATGAAATGAGATTTTGCTACACCGTCTCAAGGGAGTCACGGTGTAGAGCCAGTGTGACATTTAAAATTTGAAAATGGAAGTCAAGCGGAAACAGAATTTGAGCGTAATAATGATATAGTGTACACCATAGAGTGCACCATTCTAGTATAATGCAGTGCTTACACGCGACTGATGCGAAGCACCCATGATATAAGAATATAAGGTATTTTGTTCCTGAACATGTGCAATAGTCCAAAATGGCGGCTGTTCCTAAACTAATCATAATTTCATCCAAAATTATAAAAAGCAATATGGTTACTACCATGGTATGTATGTACATTAGATTAAAAGTGATCAAAAAGCAGAGTTTCACGTTATGAAACAGATTTCGCGTCTTCCTTGATTACATTATTCTTTCAAGAAGTTTGTTCTTCTGAAGTGGCCGAGTGATTAAGAGCGGAGTTCTTTAAGTTTTACGTAGCAACAACAGTTAGAGTATGTATAACAATGTCTATAAAAAATTATGTTTCTTATTCATTCATAAACTATTTCCTTTATTATAACTTATCAATTTTTTTCTAAATAATTAATTAGCATATTCTATTTGATTTGTAGAAACAACCTACATATTGTGTTCAAAACTATAAGAGTATTTATTAAGAATATTTCGTATATTTCATTCTAATACAAAAGGCATTACATATTACTGCTTTTCCAAGGAAATTAATATTCATCAGCAGTAGCGTGTGTTTATTTATTTATAATAGTATGTTATAATAAATAATAAATTTTAACTGATCTTAAATATCAAATTACATTTATTAACATTATTATATTTATTAATATTATTATCATTAATTTTATTAACATTATTCTATTTTATACTCCATTATTTTATTTATTTATGGCTTTTTATATTTTTTCAAATTTTAATTTTTTTACAATTGTTATATATGTGTTTTTACCAACTGTGCATTAGAATTTAGTGTTAAATTTTGGACAATTGATTGGTTGTTCTAATACTTTTCCGCCATTATGCAATGAAATATTTTAAGGCTACATTGGTCGTATCGTAGACGTCGCAAGTTACAAACTTGTTACTTCAGCCAATCCGACGTTTCAATTTTAAAGTCACATGATATTTACAACGCTTCCGATGCTACTATATGACCAATAGAATAGCCTTTATATTCTTATACCACGGCTGCATTCAGTGTATCCTAAGGGGCTCCGCACAATAAAAGAAACAGGGAACAGAGGATAGAGAATAAGAATTTCAACTTATCAGAAACTATGCATTCCACAATACATGATTTCTGATAGGTTGGAATTCTCTGAAGAGAAAACGCTATTGTGATCGATGGTTATGAATCGGAAAATCATTCTGAAAAGCAAAAAGAAGAAGTGGAGGACGCATACCTCCTCCAGAATTTTCAACACTTCCTTTATGATCGTCCTTGGAGCTGGTACTTGTGAGAAAACGAAGCTGGATATACTTGTGAGATGAATTGCTGATTCCATTTCTTTATTGCTATCAAGAAACGAGTCATCGGTGCACATGCTATCACAGATTCAGGAATCGCATTGGTGAGACATCTCCCTTTTATAAAAATACGTATTATAATTTCACGGATCGCACATAGAAAAATTCCGAAATTGTACTCTGAAAAGTCTGTCACGAGTAAAATATTTATTTTTGCGCAGCCTTTTCCAATCTCGGGTAGAACACAAAGTCATAATTAAGTCTTAATGCTATCATAGAACATCATTAATTCATTATATCATTTTAATATTTAAAAATAAATTTATAGGTAAAATAAGATTACGATGATGTCCTTATGATATCCCAGATGAAAACTTTGAAATTATTCCACGTATTGGAACATTTCAGCGAAATTAAATGTGCTGAAAATATATTAATGAAAGTGAATTTTACAGCTAATATATTGAAAATCTTTGAAATTGAACTAAAATTTCTCTGAAACTTTTGCTGAAATTTCTCTGAAATTTTATTAAAATTTTGCTGAAAATGAATTTTTCATCTAAAAATCGCTAAAATTAAACTAAAATTTTTCTGAAATATTGAAATTTTTCTAAAAAGTGTTCATGAAAACGTGGAATAATTTCGGCGAAATTTTTCCACGAGGGGTTATTATGATTTCTGTATCTTACTCGGAACATATCGTTTATTTTACTTTGATCATTCGTTTCCGCGCTTGCCAATATTATAGTTAAATTATCGCATCTCTTTGTATTAAATAACTAATTTATATTACTTTGTAATTTATATCACGATACTATTTCTATTCGATATCTTTTTTCGACTGTCTGTTTTTTTGTTCCTTCTAAGCTGCATTAGCTAATTCTACAATGTGCTTTTTGTTTTCTGTTTCTTCTTGTTTGTCTCTTATCTTATTGACCAAAAAGGCAAGAAACAAACAGAGAATAAATAGCAAAAAACAAGAAACAAAGAGCACATTGTAGAATTAGCCTAAAACTTTCTAAAGACTCAGGTATTGGAGCAGATAGACACGTGCGTCTCTATTGTTCCAATACGCTCGAACTATAGCTTCTATTCACCCAAACGCTTCGTTGGAGTAAGAAACTAGATAGAAATGGAGCATGTTGGGGCATGTTGGAGCATGTTGGAGCGAGCGCGCGAACAAATCTATAGCGATTTCGGCTAGGATGCACTAATGTGCACTAGTGCATATAAAAATAATAAAAATAAATATTTTCACAAATTGAATTCGTCACAATACAATATAATAAGCAATATTTACGGCACACGATTGGAAGGAATGTGGTAGCTCGGTAATCTAATTAAATACCAATGTCTCATTAAGGATGTAGGGGAGACGCGGCTAATAGATTCATTTTTTAGTTTCGAATTTTTATAGATAAAATTAAGAGACTTATCGAAAAAATGAATTCTACACCAATTACTACATACATTTGACTACCTAATGATATTTTAATAATAAGGGGAAATTGATAACTAATATGAAAAAAAAAATGCATTTTTCTGATTCAATTAGCCCCGACACCGAGGTAATTCGACTAAGATTATTAAAATAAAGATTAATGTATTTTAAGCTACATCTTTGGCTACATATTAATAAAACTTTTATAAAAATATATTTTAAACACAAACATTCGCTTCGCAGGGCAAAACAATACTTCTTTTTGGAAAATTTGTTCATTTCGTGCAAAAATACGTCGAAGCCTAGTTTTCGAGATTGGATATGAGGGAACTAAATTTATAACATTTACCACTGAGGAAAATCTCTTTAAAGGAATAAAATTTTGAGTAAGTACTATAAAAGTTGTCACTAAATGAGTCATACAGTTCATGCTGTGGTTAGTCTACTATCTCCATCCGTTCATTTTTTAAAAACATTAATATAACGATAAATAACGATAACAAAGACACAAAAAATCTGTTGAACTTTATTAAGTAAGAACTACACTTACTATCTAAGTAGAAATCAAATATCTCAGACAATTATATATCGTAAAACAAAAACTTTAAGAATAAAAATATTTACTTAGATGTACGATTTTTTAAAATTGTGGCAAAACTTCTATCATAGATGTGTTCGCAACAAGATATTACAGCAGACTTTAGTGGCAGTGTAAATAATATAATGAATAACTAGATGGAACAATATCGTAATAGAGCATGTCGATGTTGTTTGTCGTTACTTTGCTCTGTGACGGATATATGTGCGTAAAGGCAAATTATTCTTTGGTAAAAGAATTAATCTTATTTTAAAAGAGGTAGATAAAGAGTGCATATAAAGTATATAAAGTGCGTTATACAATGAATAGCGATTTTGGTTGGGATAAAGCTGCTATAATGTACAATTGTACAAATGTATTAAAAACAGATTAAATTGTACAATCCCTAATAGATCCCCAGTAGAATCAGCTTTTAACCTAAAAACAGCGAGTTTTTACGTTAGGAATAGAAATCTCTAATATCGAATGCGTATTAAATGTTAAACTATCTATTAATTTAATATTTACGTTTTTTATTACATAAATTTTATTTATATAAACAAAAGGTAGTATAAAAGAAGGGCAAAAAACCAATAACGTATAAAAGAATTATAATTTAAATAAGCAAAATTAATACAAAACAATTAAAATAAAATAAAACAAACGTTTCAACTCCAATCGAGTCATTTTCAATGCAATCTTACATTAATATAAATATCGTTCTAAATTAAAAATTCGTACATAATCTTACAATATTCTTACAATTCCTTAATATAAAATTTCTTCTTTCTGTGTAATACGCTGCGAGTCATTTTTATCAAGAATTAAAGTCATAAGAAAATTCTGGAAAAGTAACCGTAAACAAAAAGAATTAATATTAATCACATAAAAATTAATAATATGATAATGTACCTTAGTAAATCTGTTAAGAGTCCAATAATACACAACGAGAAAAAAATGTAAAATATGGACCATTTCGTGGTAGAATAAAATAGTCTTTTTAATTTAATAAGTTATTATAAGCAAATTCGCAAAGGTAACAAGCATCTGATTTACACGATGTCAAAAAACGAAATGTCAAGCAGAAAAACATTATCGAGAACGGAAAACGGAAAA